AAAAAGAGCGCCACCCTTCCGCTCTAAAACTCAAAGGCGCCACCCTTCCGCCTCTATAAAGCCACCACAGATAGAAAATAACAATTTCTCAATTACATTTCGTTGGAGTTAAAAGGAAACAGTCTCTATGCACTATCTTAACTTTACTCGTCTAGATTTCACAAAAGCTTGTTACGGTATTGACTTGCAAGGTTTTTACTACCAATTTATGATGAAATGCCAAGATTTTGTTGAGCTTATTTGAGACATGCTTAAAATCGCCAAAGGCTCAGTTAGGTAGGCCACCGGCCTTGTTTACTCCTATTGGCGATGAGCCTTTCTCGACCTTCACTCCTCTGTCCAGTATTATCACAACTGAGACATTAACAATGAACAACAATAAGGACAATGGACAGTACTGTAGTTGAATTATTGCTGACTACTGAAGAAAGTAGCTAATCTTGCTAGCGGGGCTAGCTTTGCAGCAACGGTTTTAACTCTCATTTGTTATCTTCATTATTGAAACTGCATATATAATTTTCGATATTAGTGGTAAAATCCCAGCAGGGACTTCTAAACACTGTAAGTAAATGACTTTTGTTTGGCAGTCTTCGTCTGTATCCAAGTTGATACTGCAATACCTGATTTCCACACACGTCAATGAAGTCATCTAAACGACCATCCACAAAGATGTTGCCTTGTTGGTCGAAATGACCAACTTCTCCTAAAGTTGTGACTGGTAAGAGCATATTAAAACATTTAAAAAGAAATCACTTGATTGCTACCTGTATGAAACCAGCCATTTGCATCGATAGGTTCACCATCGTCAATATAACCTTGCATGACAGTTGGACCTCGTAGGAAGATTTCTCCCATTTCATCAGCTTCCACTTCTCTTCTTGCGCAAACAAGCTGCAATATCGTTTTTGGATTACCGAAGGACTCTCTTTCATTCGTAATCACGCCAAATTTTTAAACATTTCCTTATTGTGCATTTTGATGCAATAGAATTATCTTTGCAAAACTCAAAATTTACATTAAATTCTTTTGTCATATTTTGCAGATTTGAATTCATGTTTTTGTTTAGCGCCAGTATGAAATTTCATCGGAGCTGCAAATTATACGCATATTGTAGCCCTTCTGCGACTCCTCATAATTAAAGCATAGAGAACTCTACGATAAACGTAACTAAAATCGTTCTAAGATTCATTGGTAGTGAGTGCTTATCCTGGCGTTAATTAAAGAAAATAACCATTTACAATTAGACTCTCACCTTAGTTTCACAAGTCGGCACTACGCAGTTACCATTCTTTTTGTCCTCAACGTTAGGTATCAGTGCAGCTGGCGCACCATCAATCATGCCCGCTCCTGTTATGCAAAAATCTCTCCCAAATATTCTGATACAATATTGAGCTCACCATCAGCCATGTATTGCACGGAGGGGAACATTTGGAGAAACTCGTTGCGAGCGCCTTTGCCCAAAACTGGTCCACTACAGAGGACATATTCTAGTGATGAGACTTTGAAATCTTCCGATATAGGTTGCTTCAACGTCGCGACGATGTTTTTCGGCTCAGTGATTAGCAGACAAGGCTAAAAGGGCAAATTTAACCTGCAAGCTAATCTTTCTAAAAAAAATTTTAAACATATCCTATAGCAGTGTAGCGCATTCATGAAAGCTGTATGTCCGAAGTCTTTCAAGATTACTGATGTGAATCCCATGATTAAAGCGACATCCATGCACAAAAGACCAAACATATTGGCTAAAGATGAACAATACAACAGTCGTTCCTCCGAAATGTTCGCATAATTCAGCTCTTTTCTCATCATGCGTTGCAAAAACCTATAATTTACGCGTTTTAGACAACTACTCAGAACTCATTCTGGGCTGCATTTTTGCGCCGTCAATCTTTTCATCTGAAGATTGATAAAGTACTTTAGCTAGCTGTAACTAATCTGTTTCGTTCACCCACTTTTCATAAATATCAGCAGCAGTAGAAATGTTCTCATGAGTGAGCATTCTTCCAACCAGTAAACCATTTGCAGCCGCACTATATGTGACCACAGCTATATCAGTTGAGCTGAAAATTAGTAGGATTAGATAATTTTTGAGTTCTTATAATAGCGAATTAATGACCTGTACTCTAAATCCTTTGTTTCGCTCACACACCCGACCATGACCTTTTGGAAATCAATTACTCCTTTAGGTAATTTTCTATTTGACCAGGGGCTTTTCACGCAGAAGATCGTCTACATTCTATCATTAGAGAAGATAATCTTAAATAGATTTTCTTCTACCTTCACATTATGCTTCTGTGCTATGGGCAACACTTTATCTAAGACTTCCTCGTCAGCAACTATTATACTTGCTTCGGTTTCCAAAATTTGTTGCTTGAGATCCTCTGATAATTAATATAATTCAAAAATATTATCAACAAAATTTTTCTTTCCTGACCTGTTGTGACAGTGCGATCAGTAGTGGTAACAACTCCTCCACACTTCATCACTGCCAAATGGGAAATTATGTAAGCTGGAGAGTTGGACATGATCAGGCAAGCAACTTGTTCGTGTCCAAATCCGCTGAACGCTCATTTTTAAAT